TGTGCAGGCCAGTCAAGTTCCTCCACCCCAAAGTCACTCATCCATGTCTTTATGGACCTTGCTTTGTGCACTGGTGCGCAGTCATGTTGGAACAGGAAGAGGCCATCTCCAAACTGTTCCCACAAAGTTGGGAGCATGAAATTGTCCAAAATGTCTTGGCTGACGCCTAAAGAGTTCCCTTAACTGGCACTAAGGAGCAAAGCCCAACCCCTGAAAACAACCCCACACCATAATCCCCCCTCCACCAAACTTTACACTTGGCACAATAGGGTCAGGCAAGTACCGTTCTCCTGGCAACTGCCAAACCCAGACACGTCCATCAGATTGCCAGATGGAGAAGTGTGATTGGTCACTCCAGAGAACACGTCTCCACCGCTCCAGAGTCCAGTGGTGATGGAAGGCTTGGATGCAGCTGCTCGGCCATGGAAACCCATTCCATGAAGCTCTCTATGCACTGTTGTTGTGCTAATCTGAAGGCCACAGGAAATTTGTAGGTCTTTAGCTATTGACTCTGCAGACAGTTGGTGACTTCTGCACACTGTGCGCTTCAGCATGCACTGACCCCGCTCTGTCATGTGACGTGGCCTACCACTTTGTGGCTGAGTTGCTGTTGTTCCCAGTTGCTTCCACTTTGTTATAATCCCACTAACAGTTGACTGTGGAATATTTAGTAGCAAGGAAATGTTACATCCTCCAGAGTGCCCCCTTAGTACAGTAGTTCTAAAGGGGCACTGTGGACTCTTGACCATGGTTTAAACATAGACCTTCTCTGAAAATCAAGACAGTCTGTTCTCCATTTTGAGGAATATTTGCATAGTTGAACTATAAATGTTTTTTTGCAATATGCTCATCAATGAATATTAACCTAAATATGTCTGATTATCATTAACCGTTGGTAAAATAACATTTGAAATGCAGAAAAGAGTTTTTATTGTATGAGACTGATAAGCCTAGGTATTTCCAAGGGCAAAAGTTTGCAGAAAGAAATCATTAATAAAAGAAAGAGTCCAGGTATAATTTTATAGACATCTAAATTGCTTTTCCAGCTGTGGCAGTATATAAAACAAAACACTGCACTGGGCATATAAAACAATGTGAAACATAAGATAAAATTCTCATAGCTTCGGATCTAATATAAAACTTAGCTCCTGCATTGCAATGAACTTGTAGTAACGTCTGGACTGATTACAGCCACTCTGAACATGTAACCTTTGTTACCATTCTGTACTCCTTGGCAGTAAAACCCGGTAATCTCTCCGTTATTAGGGTCCACAGGTCGTGTGCTGCTTTATATGCCCATAAGCTTTATCAGTTCATGTAAAAATTTATGACAACCCAATGGAAATTGATATGTCAGTAATCCTGCAACCAAGGAGGCTTTGAAATGAAGTATGCTGCATTTAACAGGCAAGTCCAAATGGTGCCCATACAATAGATAATAATTGGCCCCAAATTAATGTTTAGACCAGTAGTCTCCAAACTGATGCCCGGGGCAACCCTTTGCTTGCTTTTATCCAGTCCTTGGGGCACTATTTCATTCAATGACACCAACAATTGGACTTGTGTCCTCCCACTGACACCAACAATTAGGCATACGCCCTCCCACTGACACCAATTTAGGGGCACGATTCCTTCCAATGACACCAACAATGGGGCACAATTCTTCCCAATGACGCCAACAATGGGACACAATATTTCCCAATGGCACCAACAATTGGGCATATGTCCTCCCATTGACACCAATTAAAGGACAAAATACCTCCTAATGACACCAATCATGGGGCAGTATTCCTACCACTGACACCAACAATGGGGCATTGTTTTGTCCCACTGACACTAAGAAAATTTCTGCTCCCACTTGCCTTAGTTCGCCCCCCCGCAGTCTGAAGGACAGTATACTAGCCCCTTGTTTAGAAAGTTTGGAGAACCCTGTTTTAGACCAATATTCAGGCCATGTATAGGCCGACCCTAATATTTAGTACAAATTCATACTTTCGTGTTGTGCTAATACGTGGATTGCTGTGTATGGTATTGCAACGGAGTTAAGCTTTAAATATCAGTGCAGGCATTAAAGCGCTATTAGATCAAAAACCAAAATGTAATATATTGCAGCTTGCCAATCATCCAATGTGGTGGCTGCATTTATATTCTTTTTTTAGGCGTTTTCCCTCTGTTTTCATATGGTTATCTGGCCAGTAACACACCTCCTGTATTGGAGAGCCCCCACTCTGGATGAAGGAGCACAGGGATTACCTTTGGACAGCACCATTGTCAGGCCTGGGGGGAAGTGAATGTTTGATGTACTAGCAGATTTAAATACACTAACAAGTTGAATCCAAACTCCAGCTAACACATTTAAGCTGTCGCAGAATTTGTTTCTTTTGGGATAAAGGTTTAACACAAATAAAAGCTGATTGTTGTAAGCACCCTTGTCAGTGGTAAATGGTTTGTTTCATCCCTGTAACTTGATACATTTGCAAGAGAGCATGCTCATTTGTAAAAACAACAGACTTACTGGTTGGATCACCAGGTGAAAATAAGGGAAAGAAAACCTAAAAAAGAAAACAAATGTAGCAATCACATCTAAGAATTGGTAAGCTTCAATATAACTCTAAATCCAAAGCACTGAGTGTGGGTCCTACCTGCTCTCTCTTTGTTCTGCTATCTGCATGAATTGCTTGTTACATTGTATGCTGATACCACAGAATCCTGAAGAATGGTCCTGACCTCCCCCCCCCCACCCACAAACACGCACAAACAGTCACAGAGAAGATCATTGACAACCTCAGCTGTGCATGTTTCCTTATGAGACTGTGTGGAAGGGGTTGTGTCCTGTCCTTCCACTTAGGTCTCAAATTACACTCAGTTCCCTGCTCTCTGTTGTGCAGTGTGTGATATCAGATCATTACTCCCTGCGTGCTAGAGCTCAGAGATGCTGTGTAAAATGCGTGTATTAGGAGTGTCAGGGATGCGGGTGTGACCAGAGATGTGTGGACTGACACAGGGAAACGCAGGCTTCAGATATGGTATAAATAAGACAATTTATTAAGACTAACAATACAAACATAAACGCAGTGCACCAAACCCCAAGCTAACACAAATACATACAACAAGGTGAAACAAACCCAAACCTAAACTGATATAGATACACAGGTACATACACATGTAGAGCACAACGTAGTCAGGCATGCCGGGTCGATAACTATCGGGCAGGTAGGTACAGGAGGAGCAGGCGGAGAGAATGGTCAGGGTCACAAGCCAGGGATCAAACAGCAGAAGTCAGCAGAGGTCAGGATCAGGCAGGGTCGGCAACAAGTCAGGCAGGAACAGGAATGCAGGTTACAAAGTACAGGGGCCCATGGAAAAACACACACCAAGGCACAGACTGCAGGTCTGGCCATCCCTTAAATACACCACCTGCAATCAGCCCCAGGTGATGGCTAATTGCCGAAGTGAACCTCTGGTTGTTGAGAGCACCCACTGGCCAGCCCTGGTACTGCAGCCCACAAGGCAGGTGAGTCCCACCACTATTAGCAAGTCCATTCCTGACAAGGAGGGTGTAGAGGAGAGATGGCAGTAGATAAACAGGAACAACTTAGGATAATTTGTTTATTCTATGTGTATCACAGCTGGTCACTTTACTGGGTATATGTAAGGGTTTACAACCACTTTATTGGTAGAGTACTGGATATATTTTATCTTCGCATGCACACAGATGTTCTATGTTTAGATTCCTAATGGGACCCCTGCCACCCCCAGGCCCCATAATAGCCACATTGGCTGCTATGGCTATTATTACACCACAGCTAGCTTTGCATGACTTTTGCTGTCTGATATGTGTAACGTTTTTAAATACATTTGTGTACCCAACACGCTCTTCTTTTTTAACCTTTCTAGTAACACAGCTGGCCAGAATCCTAATACTAGGTATGGGGGAAAATGGACAAACCCTTTGCCCTTCTTCAATTCACTGCTTGGTGCCTCAGCAGCCAATCCCCAGGCCGAAGCATTATCATAAGAGCAGCTTGCCTAGCTGCAGGCAACAACTGCCTTTGATGAAAAGTTGTGTTTTGCACAGGAACTCTATGGAGATGACAGTGGGGAACAGGGCAGCAGACACCAGAGACTGGCTAGAGCAGCCTTTCTCAACCAGGGTGCCTAGGCACCCTGGGGTGACTTGAAGTTTCTTCAGGGGTGCCTTGACAAAATGTCTAAAAATTGCCCAAAAAATGTATACAAGCCAGCGGATGGAACAAGCCTGACGTTTAGTTACACAAAGCCACAGGTTTTCCTTGTGCAACATTACAACCTTCTAGCCACCGGCGTTCTGACAACCAATGACATCATCAGTTGATAAGGACAATGTCAGCTGCCTGCACAGCATCTAGTTTGACCCTCCCCCGCCCCTCTCCATCACTGCTGGGGTCACATTAGCTCAGTGATGGAGAAAAACCGAGGGAGAAGAGAAACACAGGAATACTAGTCAGTACCAGTACCAAGATTAAATCACCTCTAATGTTGGGTGTCCTACATGTGTGGATGTTGCTGCGTTATATAAAACTATTGGAATAGATTTTTCACATTTTAGAATGGGGTACCTTAAGACTGTACAAAATTTTAAAGGGTGCCTCGGAACTGCCCATTTAAGGGTGCCTTGGGACTGTCCATAATTTTACAGGGTGCATTGGGACTGTCCATAATTTTACAGGGTGCCTTGGGACTGTCCATTATTTTACAAGGTGCCTCGGAACTGTTCAAAATTTTACAGGGTGCCTTGGGACTGTCCATAATTTTACAGGGTGCCTTGGGACTGTCCATTATTTTAAAGGGTGCCTCGGAACTGTTCATAATTTTACATGGTGCTTTGGGACTGTCCATTATTTTAAAGGGTGCCTCTGAACTGTCCAAAATTTTACAGGGTGCCTTGGGACTGTCCATTATTTTAAAGGGTGCCTCAGAACTGTCCAAAATTTTACAGGGTGCCTTGGGACTGTCCATAATTTTACAGGGTGCCTCGGAACTGTCCAAAATTTTACAGGGTGCCTTAGGACTGTCCATAATTTTACAGGGTGCCTTGGGACTGTCCATAATTTTACAGGGTGCCTTGGGACTGTCCATAATTTTACAGGGTGCCTTGGGACTGTCCATAATTTTACAGGGTGCCTCGGAAACTGTCCATAATTTTACAGGGTGCCTTGGGACTGTCCATAATTTTACAGGGTGCCTCGGGACTGTCCATAATTTTACAGGGTGCCTTGGGTGCCTCGACTGTCCAAAATTTTAATTTTACAGGGTCCCTCGGAACTGTCCATAATTTTACAGGGTGCCTTGGGACTGTCCATAATTTTACAGGGTGCCTTGAGACTGTCCATAATTCTACAGGGTGCCTCGGAACTGTCCAAAATTTTACAGGGTGCTTTGGGACTGTCCATAATTTTACAGGGTGCCTTGGGACTGTCCAACATTTTACAGGGTGCTCAGAACTGTCCATAATTTTACAGGGTGCCTTGGGACTGTCCATAATTTTACAGGGTGCCTTGAGACTGTCCATAATTCTACAGGGTGCCTCGGAACTGTCCAAAATTTTACAGGGTGCTTTGGGACTGCCCATAATTTTAAAGGGTGCCTCGGAACTGTCCATAATTTTACAGGGTGCCTCGGAACTGTCCAAAATTTTACAGAGTGACTTAGGACTGTCCATAATTTTACAGGGTGCCTTGGGACTGTCCATAATTTTACAGGGTGCCTTGGGACTGTCCATATTTTACAGGGTGCCTCGGAACTGTCCAAAATTTTACAGGGTGACTTGGGACTGTCCATAATTTTACAGGGTGCCTCGGAACTGTCCATAATTTTACAGGGTGCCTTGGGACTGTCCATAATTTTAAAGGGTGCCTTCACTGAAAAAAGATTGAGAAACACTGGACTAGAGCATGGTGGTTGGGGGGGCAGGGGGGGATGGTTGATTGAAAACAAGTGTATTTCAACCTAAAAATGAATAATTCTTTTGTGCAAGCAAGTTTATGCAATCTAAGCTGTCATGTACCTTTATTGACCCTTTTAGTAGTAGGCAGGGATGATCCAGCAAAAGGAACCACAGTAGAAATAATATGTAGATACCTCTAGTGCCATCTTGCTGGGGAGAAGGGTACTGCTGCTTCTATATTATATAAAGAGTATAATGACAAAACACCAAAACAGCATGAAGAGACATTAGTCTTTGAGATTCAGATTTTTTATTTTTTTTTGTAGATTCAAAAATTGATTTGTGCGATCTGCTTGAGATTGAAATCTCAGTCTTCTCAGTTAAAACCACAATTATGGAAATTGCTTGCTAACCATTCCCATCCTGTCTTGTTAAACCCGGCATCAGGCAGCCTCCGCTTTGCATTCAGCTGCATTTGTAACCTGACACATGCTGATAAGCTCCAGTGATTGAGGGTTCGCAGGTGCACCAACTCGTGGTTCTGTAACAAATCAAATTATCAATATGAGCTATTACAATAGATAGAAACTGTAGAGCGCTCACCTTCCAGGATGGCTTGAATCTGCAAAACGCAATGCTGCACTTCTTAGCATTTTAATACAAAGTAATATGACCTTTAACCACTTCATGTCCGGACACTTTCACCCCCTTCCTGCCCAGGCCAATTTTCAGCTTTCAGCGCTATCACACTTTGAATGACAATTGTGCGGTCATGCAACACTGTACCCATATACATTTTTTAGCATTTTTTTTTTTTAAACAGATAAAACTTTATTTTGGTGGTATTTATTCATCACTGGGATTTTTTTTTTTTTGCTATATAAATAAAAAATTCCAAAAATTTTGAAAAAAAATTGTTTTTCTTTTTGCAAATAAATAATCTTTCTTCATAAATCTTGGCCAAAATGTATTCAGTCATCTTTTTAGTAAAAAAAAATAGCCAAAATTAGTTTATAACCAAAAATTATAATTTTTCAAAATTTTTTTTTACATTTTTATTTTATTTTTTTATATTATTATTTATGCTTTTTGTTTTTGTTTTTGACATACTGTCACCCTAGCAGTACAGTGTCACCATAGTGACACTGTACTAGTTGTGGGGGGTGATGAAGTTTTTTTTTTCTTTTACACTGATTGCTGTTACACAGATAAAGGCTGTAAAGGCAATCATTTCTCTTTCTCTCTGACTGCATTCTTTCAGCCATTAAGAAATACTGTGAGAGCTGTGATTGGTCACAACTTGTTACATGGTACAAGGCTGTTGTGAGTAGCCTTGTACCATGTGACCTCTGTGATCATTCACAGATTTCACTAATAGTAAGCAATGATGTCAGGAAGTGACATCTTGCTTACTACTATTCATGTGATCACTGATTGGCCAATCAGTGATCACATGAATCGGGACTTCACATAGAGGTTCCGTACAATGATCGGTGTTCCGCTGTGTCTGGAGGCCCACAGTAAGGGCTCAGCATCTACTTGTAGCACCCTCCTAGGTAGCTAGGGGGAGCCAGACTCCAATTGTTAGCTAGGGCTGAGTAGCAGCCTGGGAGTAATAGCTAGCAGGGGGTCAACATTGAGTCAGAGCTGAAAGGCTCTGCAGACCAGCCCTCTGGAATTTTCCCCTGCTCTAGAACTTTGGAGAAAGGTCTAGAAGCAGTGGGTGAATCTGAGGAGTGTAAGATCTGCACTTTTGAGGGAGCCTGGCTAATCACCAACAGGAGGCTTGGCAAGGGACTAGGACAACCATTAAAAGTGATTGAGCCTGCTCAGCAGGAGGAGGGGGAGGAGAGAGTTTGGGTGGAAATTGAGGAGGATGTGAGGCTGGAAGGCAGGAGGCTGTGAGGGGGCCCAGCTGGAGAGGGTCTCACCTGCAGGCAGAGGACTTTGGAAGACTGAAAACTTGGAACTTCACCGGCCCCCTGAGAGATGACCACCTGTGTGGCAGGGAAGAAGCGGCCAAGCTAGATGGCAGCACAGGAGAGGGACCAAGTGAGTAAACCTGCACCCCCTGGGCCAGTAAGGGGAAAGGAGCACTCTAATGGGAAACCAGATTTGCTATCTTACCTGGGACTGTTTCAAACTGCAGTAGCAGGCACTGGATTCCCTGCCCAGGGATTCACCCATTACAGTTGGATGAGGAGAGTAGTCATCTGGGATCTGGTGTGGTACTACAGGAGATGTTTGCAACTCTCCAGAGGAGAATTTTGCTGTAAAGACTTGTACATACTTCAGGAAGATTGTCCTCTGTTGCCATACCCTTGGGCATCCCATGCACCCCCTACCCCATCCAAGTTCTAAATCCCCCAATAAGCTTCAAAACAAAGCTCAAGGTCTGGTTACTTTCTCCTGATGCATGTCTCAGTGAAGGAAATGCGTGTTGCCTGATTGTGCAGAACTGTAGGGAGACCCAAATGTATTGCAACTCCTAAGGAGTAGGGCTACATACAGATGATATCTGATCAATTTCATCTGACAGTCTATGGGCTTGTTCACACATAGGTCTGCCCAATAAATCAGTGTGACTTTCCTATGCCATTGGGACCCCACAGGATCTTTAGGGTTATTAGGTCAAGTGTTCCCAGTGCGCTGTATGCATGTTTGTTTGTATCCATTAATGGTCTAGTCTCCTTGGACATTTTCTTCCTCTCTCTCTCACCCTATCTCTCTCTCTCATCCCCCCCTCTCACCCCCCTTCTCTCACCACCCCTCTCTCTCTCTCACCCCCCTCTTTCTCTCACCCCACCTCTGAAGAGTGAAGCCTAAAGAAGGGGTGGAGCTTACAGATGAAGGGGTGGATCATGAATAGGAAGGGGTGGGACAAATTTGGATGGGTGTGCCCAATTGTAGTCTTGCCTATGGCAGCACAAAACCAAATACACTGCTGGTCCACTCACTGTAAAAAGTAAAGGAGCCCTAAAGGATAAAGGAATTTTAACACGAATTACGCTTATCCTTTTTTGCCTCCTTCTAACCTATAGAAGCTCACCCTTAGTTTCATACTTCTCTCCATCCCACAGCTTCCCACAATGGTTGTATGTGAAAATCATCTCTGAAGATGTCTATGTGGATCTACTGCACAGGAGCAGGTGGGAGGCTGCATGATGGAGGTAAGTACTCTTTGGTCTGTAAAAAAATCCTTGGATTTTTTTTTTTATTGAAGAAAATGCCCTAGAAAGTATTGTATGGGGAACATTCAGTTAAGGGCTGTTCACACTGTTGGGTGGCAATTCCAGCACAGTCCCACCGCATGGACAAGGCAAAATGCCTTGGCTCCTATGTATTGTATGCAGTACTTTTTATCAGCACAGTACAGTACAGTGAGGCAATCCACCACCTCGCACTGTGGGCTGATAATTGAACTTTATGAGATGTCTCAGTGCATCATCCCTTTGCTGATCTCCTCCCCACCACACTGCACACCAACCACTGCGTTCCAATGCAGCAGATGGTGTGAACCAGACCTCAAGCTTCAGTTTGAAAAGTTTTAAATTAGTTAAAACTACAGCTTTCATTAAAAGAATACCTAGTGATCTTGCAATGAAGATCTTTGTTTAGACACTTCTTGTTATGGGTTGATGTCCCTTTCTCCAAGTTGTGTTTAGATATTGTCCCCCTATCACAAGCACCCCTAAATGATAACATAAAGTGCTGTGTCACCAATAATTGCATGGACATGGTCCACCATTGTCATTATCCAGAAACTGGTCCTAAGCAATGATGTTCAGCCAACATTGAAGCGTGTTCCATGTAGACAGGAAATGGCTGGAAAGGGATGATGGAAATCAGCAGCACTGAGTTACAAAAAAAGAGTGAAAAAGAGTATTTTATTAAAAAACAACATGTCAGTGGTTCATGATGCACAGTGCTTTAATAAACTAAATGTCATTCATTTTGGGGCTTAGATATATGCACTTACTCATTTTCTTGCAATGGCAGAGCAGTCTAGAACATTGCATCTACACCTTCTACAACATGTTGGTTATTGAAATTTTTTTTAGATATTTATCGTAATTTTCCTTCCCTGGCCTATTTGCATGTTGGCATACTAAGGCTTAGCTCCTACTCCCCTGAACCCATAGATGGTCTAAAAAAACAAAAAGTTGTCCTGATCTGTTAGCCCATCTTATGTCAGAAGGGGGCAGAAATGTACAGTATGCTGACATGAAGATAGACCAGGGAAGGAAAATTAGTGTAAGTATCTGAGGTTTGCCAACCAACAGATTTTCTGCTGGTGTCTTCCAATAGAGAACTTGTCAGATTCTGGATGGGAGAAAGATGAGCTGAATAACTGAGCTCCTGTCCCACTGTTGCAGAGAACACACGTGTAGTCATTTGGGATGGCATTGGGACTATTGTACTACCGGGATGGAAGATGACCTCTTGCCCAGTAGACAAAGGCAGACCCTTGCTGATAAACTGTAAATGAAACAGAGAGTGCACTGGCATAGTGTAAGACACCCCCCCCCCCCCCCCATTTTTAAAGAGGAACTTTACCCATAACAGTTTGATAACTATTAATGTTCTTTAAATAAAAGAACATACATTCCACATTAATAATTATGCTACTAAAATTAGTGTGTGCTATAAATTGCCTTCAGCATTGCTCCAGTTTCTTCTTGCTGGAGGCAGCCATTTTGTTGAAGCTCAGAGCAGTCACTTATTGTTAACTCTCCCCCTCTCTTTTCTGTAATGAAAATGTATGCATTGCCAACCTTGATTGTATGTCTTGGATCAGCTAGAAAGGAAGGCTGTACAGTGCTGAAGTTCATAGCTCTGCACTGAGGTAGAAAGGAGAAAAA